CAGCCGCTGGGGCTGGATAAGCTTGGATTTCTCCAGATTGTTGTTTTTTTTTTCCTCCCCGCTCCTGTAGCTGATGTATATGGGTTTCAGCCGTGAGGCGGCAGAGCAAGCTTTAAAAGTCCTTAAAGGCAACATCTACTTAGCTTCCCAAATCCTTGCTCATTATGGGGGAGTTCTTCCTGCTTCGCTGCAGCAGTCTCCAGAAGGGTCCAGTCCGTCAGAAGAATCGGCTTCATCGAAAGACTCGCCTACAGAGTCTGCAGGTAAGAGTGCTGCAGGCAGCAGGCGGAGCGGAGGAAGGGGAGGGCTCTTCTGGCTTTTGGGATTTCTGCTGAAATACTGGCAGAGGCGTTGAGTAACGCCCCAGAACTGCTTTTAGGGGTAACACACGTACAGGCAAGGGATCCGTTACCCCAGCTAAGCTGTAGCCCCTGCAGTCAGGGACAGCCATAGACGGACCCCAAGGGACGCGTGTCGGCTGTAGGCAGTGCAGGAGCCAGGCGCAGCCCAGAGGAAAGGGGAATTCACCTTCGGAGGCATCCTGGGAAGGGCGGGGGGAAATGGCCGCTGAGCGGGCTGTGGCTTTGGCACACAAGGCTGGGGGCCTCGGGTGGCTGCAGCTCCACTTCCCCAGCGAGGGACACGTGGCCCTCTCAGGCCCACAAGCAATTCCAGCTTTTCCCATCTCATCGTACTGGCCAGTTCTCCTCCAGAGCAAACCCAGCTCTCCCTGCCTGTACTCTTTCAGAGAGTAAGTATGAAGTTGCTGGAGGACATATCCAAATAACGATATTTTGGCTTCCTAATACCTGGGTGCTGACTGCTAGGAGGTTTATTCCAAATCTGAGCTATACAGTCGGTTGATTTGACCACATACTCCTTCCTCGTGTCCCTTACGTGGTAGAACTGTAACTGATACTCGCCATTCAGCAAAGAGGGAACTTGCACGTACTCTCTCTTCCGTTACTTGTCAGAGCTGTGTGATCCCTGTTGTACAGCCAAGGGCTTTCCTACAGCTTAGAATAGTAGGAAAAACGGCCATCCTGCAGTATCCTTGGCAGAGCTGCGGTAACCAAGGTGGTTTGACAGAAACAGGCTGGCAGAGCTGTCGTGCTGGTGAAAGAGGGAAAGTACCAACTTCTTTGAATCCACGGCTGCTTTTCTGTATTGGCAGGTTCTTGTAGTTCACCGACAGATGAAGACATGGAGACCGATGCAGTCAATGAGATCCTAGAAGATATTCCTGAACATGAAGAGGATTATCTGGATTTAACACTGGAGGAAGAGGAGCAGATCATTCACGAGTACTTATCCTATGTACAAGTACCACAGCATTAAATCCCATTACATCTGCTTCAGTTGTATGTACTTACCTTGACAAATTGAGTTTGGATTATAAATGCACCTTCAGCTTATCTCTTACTAAATGCCTTGACTTCAGTTAAACTATAGGTGGAACACTTAATTCCTGCTTATTTATAAATCTGCTTAAAGCCTACATTTGTGATACATTGTAATTTATTGTCATAGCAGAAAAATAGAAACATTTATTTTCAGAAGAAAATTTAATAGAACTAAACTATATTTTTATTGTGAAATAAGTTAATTCACTTAGTACTCAAGTAAAGAAGCATTTCTATACCATTTTACAATACCAGCTTTGGGAAAAAAAAAATTTGTAAACGGGAAACCTAGCTCATGAAGATGTAGAGGTATCAGCTTTCAAACTGTTCTCCTTTTCTTCTGAAAGATTTGAGATGTTTAGGTGTCTGTCATGCATGGATTATACTGTGTTCTGCTTGTCCCTTCCCCCCGGTGTTACACAGGCAATAAAGAGAACTCCGTGCTGCTTCTGCTCTTAGTGAGAGTCTTCTATGCTCCGGTTTTAAAAACCAGGGGGAGCTCCTGGCAGGGCCCTGTCCTGGCAGAGCCTGTGACGGCGCAGAGGTGTTCCCTTTTGCAGCCAAATAACCCCTTTCCCCCAGGACCTCTCCTCTTAACCTTGCAGGTGTGGGGCTTGAGATTGATGGGTTTCATGGGGGCTACAAGGTTTTCTTGAATCAGCTGTTGAACAAAGTAGTGGCTGGGCCCAGCTTCAGCAGAAATATTTGGGGGTTCTGTGCATGCTTTGTGACATCCCCTTTTCTACTAGGCACCCCTCTGCCCCTGGGAACACGTTCCCCTGCTTGTCAGCTTTATCTTAAACGTGGTTTGTTTGCGTTCCGTAACTCCCTTCTCACGGCAGAGGGAGCTCCAGGCGCAGCGCTGGAGCTGGTGGGACCAGGGGCCCTGGCCGTGAGCTCAGCTTAGAGCGAGGCCTAACAGCCGCTGCTGGAAAAGGCACCTTCCCGCTGGTGCCAGTTCACTCTTACCCAGCATTTACCAGTGGGAAGTGAGAGCTTGACCGTCTGTTCGGACAAACGTGGAACTGGGGGAAGCAGAGCTTTGGCCAGGTCCAGTGCCTGGCCTTAACAGGCTTCAGTAGTGGGGTTTTTTCCTGGCCACCTTAGCCAAGGACAGCAAAAGGAGTGATTGCACGGCAAAGGAATTCTTTGCATTTCATACTTCTGTATCAAGGCAAGTGCTATAAAAACGGAGCCGTTTTGTATCTCTTCCCAGAAAGTTGAAGTGTTTCTAAAGCCAGTACTACAAGCTTCTGAGGAAAGAAACAGCCCCAGCAACCGCTCTCTCCTGCTTCTCTTCTTTTGGCCAGGAACGTCTGGACAAAAGGCAGAGCAGAACCAGAATCTACAAGAGAACTGAAAACATGAAAGTGAGAGGTGTAGCTTTAACAAGAAGGTGGGAAAGCACAAACTTCTTCCTTCCTTAGCCAGGGGGGGTTCCCAAACCTACTGGCTTCTGGCCTTACCTCACGCTAGCCCCTGGGCTCGCATCAAAGGCAGTGTCGGGCTCTGCCGCGGGTTTTCTCCTCTTTGAAGTGGCTTGCATAGTGAACCGGTGGTGACAGCTTAAGAAGTGAAGGTTTGTCCTTGGGGCATTTAAAATTAGCATCACAACACGCAGCGCTTGTCAGAAAAGCCCGTCCTCAATGATGTCATTCTGCCAGCGCTGCCCCCGAGTTAACTGGGCGCGGTTTTAAGTGCTCAGTAGGGCAGGAGGCATTGGCTAAAAGTTGTAAGTTAATGCTGACCGTGTATTTGAAGACACGGGGATATGTTTAGCAACAGGCAGACGTGGTAATGACTCATTAATTCCACTCTTTGAGACCTGTATCTATTAAATCCATTTGCTAATTCCATGTGCAGCTGCTGTAGGGCCAGGTTTAACACCCTCTGTGCAAAGTTTTGCACAAAAAGTGCAGCCCAGACCATCTGCGCTGCTCTGTCCATCTCTGCTAGAGGCCTCCTCCTTAGCATGACCTCCGAAGCAAAACGCAAACAAAACCAGCTGCACAGCCAGCCCTCACCCCAGCAATCAAGCGCCACGGCCTCACAAACGCTTCTCACCAGGGCAGTCCTGAGCTACAGGGACTGCAGTGAGAGGCTGCAGAGGAATTAAGTCTACCCTATGCAGATGACCTCCCGCATGAGCTTCTCTGGGGAGGCGTTTGATGTAATTAAAATGCTGTTTCCTACTAGATGCAGAAACCTGCCAGGTGAGAGCTGACGGAGCTGTTTGCCAGGCGAGGCAAGCAGGGCGCAGAGCAGCGATGACAATGACACCGTTTCAGAGTAGGGGGTCTTCGGTGCCACCACAGTGAGAGCTGAGCCAGGGCACATGGCTCTTCTCGGCCGCATGTTCCCTTAAGACAGCGTTTTGGTTGGTGGCTGGTCCCTCCTTCCCCTGACCAGGGAAACTGAGCTCTGGCGGGAGGCAGGACAGCTCCACGGCCCACCTGGCTCCAGCCCCAGCAGTGAAGGAAAGGCAAGAAATGTTTCCAAAGGGAGATGGTGGGTTTTTTCCCCATATTCTACCCATTCTAACTGCTGTGTGTATCAGCCAGCCAAATCCCCTCTAAATGAGAAGAAAATACAAACTAGACCGTCAGTTGATAGAGGTGCCACATGTTTATTAGTCCATTCTAAAAAATGATCACAGCATTTTTATCTTGCTGTAGTACAGAATAAATAAAGCCATAAAAATAAAAACATGTGGTTAGGTATTTTGTACTGGTTCTACAGAGCATTATATCTGCAACTAGAAAAATATAAGAACCCTTGTTTACCCTTGTTTACCCTTGTTTATTCATGGCTCAGTGGTTATCCGAGAGGGATGAACCTGGAAAAAGACTGGGAGAACAGCTCTTGAGTTCAACTGCGTATCTGGTGCTACTGCCAACCCAGCAAACCAGGGCCAGACCTCACCCCTGGAGGCTAAGGAGGAAAGCTAAGTCTAGAGCAGCCCATGAATCTTCCTGTTTTGCTCTCCTCTCCCCTGAAAAAAACCACAATTCAGCATTCCCAGTGGGTGATACAAGGAAAACCAGTCCCCGTGAGGGCAGTCCAGCGACGGGCCAGGCTGCCCAGAGAGGGGGTGCAATCGCCACCGGAGACCTGGTGCCCAGTGAACAATTTCTGACTCCTGCGGGGCGGAGACGAGGCCCTTTGGAAGGGCCCAGCGGGAGCTTCCCACCAGGGGGTAAGCGGGTGGCTGGCAGCGCACGGCCCCAGCAGCACACAGAAGACACGTCGGTGTCAGATACTAGACAGGCAGAAGCGTGCAACACCTCTGTGCCAGAGGGAGCTGGAAACAAGCAGTCGTTAAGTACAGGTCCTGCTTACACACACACACACAGGGGTACGTCACCTGAACCACACTGCAGTCCCTCCTGACCCCAGTGCTGCTCAGCCGAGAGGCATCTGCAGCGACAACATCTGACTTGAGTCTGTCTGTCAGTCACAGAGGAGCCTGGCTCCTGAAAAAGAGGTTCAAGCAAAGCCGTTTCCCATCTCTTTCCAAGTTCTGGTTTACATGGACACAGTGGTGCAGAAAACAAAAGGTTCAGCTTTGGTCACTGGTGGAAAGTCTGTTCTGGACAGTCACATTAGCTCAACAGCCTCGTGTTCCCCATTTTCCTGCTGTACCATACAGCCGACTTTATTGTTGAAGAGTCGAGACAGACTCCCCTTCTGAGAGCTCCTGCCCTGGGCAGACCTCTCCTTCTTCAAACGCCGCTTATTCCTCTTGCATATTCCCCGGATGTCCCAGATCCTCAGTGTGCCGTCGTGGGAAGCTGTGTAGAGCAACTCGTTGTGGATCTGGAACAACGAGGTCACATTTAATATCAAACCATACAGCTCGGAATCGGCACAATCAAACTGTCAAAAATCGGAGCAAACACAGCTTGAGCCTAACACTTAAGGCCTGATAGCTCATCGCAAGAGCCAGTATAAATTATCACAGAAGTTGCTAGTGGGATGAGACGTTACCAAGTCAGAATTCATTTCTCAGCCACTTCAGAGAGCCATAAAATATAAACAGCAGGAGTTATTTATAACATAAACCCACTAGAAAAGCAATGGGGAACTAAGCTCAGCGTCAGAGTAGGCTGTAGCTGGGAATTTCTGTGCTGGTTTCAGACTGCCAGTTTCGAAGATGAAGCTTACGGAGGCACCAAAATCAGCATCAGTGGGCAGCAGGGGGGGTCAGGAATCCTTTCCTTCTCGCTTCCCTTCTTCCTTCGCAGTAAGTTACAGCTATAATCCCTCCTTCTAAATCTGTTGTTCCAAACCTGCACTAATTTAACCCCGATTCCCCCCTGTAGTTTCATTTCCTTAATGAGACTCATTTCCACTTGCTGCTGTTGTCATGTTTCCAATTGTCCTCCCCCTGCCCGAGAAGCCAACCTTCGGGCTTGATCATCTTCCCCTTCCTGCGTCAGCCTCCCCGCCACGGGCGCTCGCAAGCGGCCGCCGCGATGGCGAGCGTCCCACCGGCAGCCTGGCTTCGTCAGCGCGAAGCACCACACCAGCCCCCTCATCCCTCCCTCATTAATACACCTAAAATCATATTAAGGTCGCTACTTCTCAGTCCTCTCTCTTCCCTGGACTTTTTGCCCTATACATTTGAAAACCAAATTACCAAAAGATAAAAAGTACAAAGCCAAGCTATGGTCTTGTCAGTACTTAGGGCTGCCCAGAATGATAATACCGTCACCCAAACACATCCAGGTGACCATCTGCTACACAACCAACTGCTTCATCCCCAAGAGTTTGCAGTTTAAGACCCACTAGCCACTTGCAAATTCAGAAAAATATACAGAAGACAACCATATTTACAACTCTTTGTGCTTGGGATCAACTCCAAAACGAATTTTATCTTCTCTCTTTTTTCCTTCAACTGCCAAAAATACTTACAGCGTCTCACGTTCTTAACCAAAATCCTCATCCTGCACACAGCTTCTACTGAGCTCCTGATGCAGGGGGATGTGGACTCTCAAGTGCACAAAGCATCCAAGGATTTTCCCCCCAGGATTCCTTGCATGATACTGGTCTTTCGTTGCCACTGGGGATTACTAATTCCTCCCCTTTGCAACGCCAGCATCGCTTCGGCCTAGACAGTGCGCAAGCACCATTTGATGGGACTGAATTGCCTTTCAGAAAATTTTTAAGCCAGTGGCTCCAATATGGAGCTTCTTTATCATCTCTATACCTTCCGAAAAACAGATCCTGAGGGCAGTGTTTTATATAAACGTTTATATCCAGGGCAGCACAAGGAAACCACCACTAGCTCTTCACTAAGATCAGAAAGGATGGTAGGCAGTTGCTACGCTGTTGAGGGCTACCATGCCGGGGGGGACAGGGGGACATAGCTATTTATTATTCTGCTTGGATAAGGCAGAACCTTCTGCCTAGAGCGCTGCAAACACTTATCACTGCTGTCCTGTAATGGAAGGGGTCTCATGAGGTCAGGGTCCACTCCCTGCCCCTACACAGCACCAGTTACATGCGTCTCATTTTTTATGGCTGCTCGTCTAACCCGACCTGAAAAACCTCCAATCGCAGACCCAGGACTGTCTCTGGGGACTCGTTCTGTGGTTTCACTTATCCTTATTATTATCGAGTTTGTCTAAAGTTACAAAAGGAATATTCAAGTTTGTTACGTTCCATCTCCCCTGGAACAACACCCAACCCGAGACACACAGACCAGCTGGCCACACCGATCCCCACAAAACGATGAGGGCGCCGTCAGAAGTGAGAAATCCCGGCAAAGAAACCCCTTCCTGACCTGGATGCAGTTGATGATGAACTTGTGTCCTCGGAAGATCTTCTGCAGGACACCACTCTTGGAATTGAAAGCTCTTGCACAGGCATCGCCACTTCCTGTGAACACTGCAACGCAACCACACAACAGAGCCCAAGGCCAGATGTGAGCAGCCACGTAAGGTCAGTCCGTGGGAGTTCACGGCGCGCTTACAACTAGTTCACAGAGGAGCATGACGTACCGTTTTTAGGCTTGATTCTGGTTTCAGTTACAGCAAGTTCACATCATTTTCCTTTTGCTGACCCCAGCATGCTTGTTTTCATTCGTATTTTTCGAAACACTGAACTGCCTTAAGCCTGAAGTTCCCCCACACATCAGCATTTCACTCCACACACGCTTCACACATCTATTTCTGCTCTGCTTTTCCACGTCTATTTCCCTCCCTAAACATGCCTCAATAATTCTAAGCAGGCAATTTATCTCAAGTCTGCTCTTAATGATTTCCACTAAGCCTTCCGTTTGTTTTACCACCGTTACTTCCAGGTTTCCATCCAGTACCACAGTATCATCATCACTCCTGCTGCTGAGTCAAGCAGCCGAAGCATCTCTACAGTGGAGCTGCAAAGCACAGGAACAGCGTTACCGCCTCCCAGACTCATCGCAGGAATTCGGCCCTCGCTTCATTAAAACATACCCTTTTCCTCCCCTATTTTCAACCATAAGCTTACTAGCAGTAGGTAAGGCCATCTCTGGGGAAAGGCCACAGTTAAATCTTCTGTCCTCAGAGGCGAGTGGCATGTGTAGGCAGCTTTACAAAGAAGCTTTATAAAATCTTTCAGTGTGGTACATTTCTTCAGCTAAATCCTGTAGCTTAGGATCTTTGCAGGCAGCAGAGCCTTTAAGTGATTCAAGGCCCAGGCTATAATCTCTATTTCAGTACTTCAGGGTTTGGGCTGCAACTCTTGTATTCTGTGTGCTATACTGTACGTGTGCTACAAGAGGTGGGGGCGGGGGGTAAGTAAATTAAGCCTGACCAGGGATTTTGGCTGTTCATCAGATTTCCTTAGGGTATCTTAACATGTTCGAAGAACGATTTCTCAACACTTCAGGACCTGCACAGCACAGCCCCAGAACTGCTGCATCCGGGAACTGTAAGGCAGTGTTGAATATTTAGATTTTATATTTAGCAATATGCCCAAAAAGAGAGCACATTTGTGTGCTTTAAGGATTACAAACTGTGTTCATAAACACTCACTTTCCTTCACTTAACCCAAACGCCTCACGTTTATCTCGAGATAAATATTTCAGAACTGCAAAAAGCAATATATTCACATTTCATGGCTTTGCAAAAGCCACTAGCATGGAAAGATTTTTACAGAACTGAAGTGCCTGAAAACAACAGACTTTTTATCTTTTGAGAGAAGTCAGGCACTGGATTCCTGAAGAGAGGTGACGAAATTACCACGGCAGCAAATCCAGGACTACAACACGGGAAGAGAGAACAGGCTACCTACTGCCATCAGCTCTGCAACTTCAAACTAAACAGCAGGAGGCTGGGCACACCTTCCAAGTGTAAACACCTGGATGTGGAAAATCCATGTCATTTTATAGGGGCCACCATCAATTCAATTGCGGACACAATCCTGGAAGAGCATGGCCTCCTGCTCCGCAAACGGGTAACAACGAGGTGAAGCCGGGAACAAGGTACGGACTTTTTTTTCCAGTGAATGGAAATCAGTTAATACGATTACACACATGCAGAGAGTAGGAACCAATTAAGAGCTGTTTTCACTATGCAGCTGTCAGTTTACTGCAGCTATCGCTATCAGGATTTTGCTTTTGACAGACATCCTTTATGTCTTTGAACTGTCACTCTAGATTTAGGAAGTCTCTGCACCTCTGAGTTTCAAAGGAGAGCTGTTGATCTAACCCAGATTTAGCATTTAAATATATGCTTATATATGCCACCTGTGAAACAAACAGCAACAAAAAAAAAAAAAAAATCAACAATTCATTTTTATTTTTTACTTAAATTTCATAGACCCTTGGGAGGGAGAAGAATTTTAAACGTTCCCTTGGAGTTTTCGCAACATGAAAAAATATAAACCACATTAAATTTTAAATGACTGTGCACATACTGTAGGAGAGAAATAACCAACATAGTATCATTAAGTAAATTAAGACTGAGAACTAGCCTTAATATTCCCCGTGCTATTAATTACACAAGCAGACTGAGGAAAGCCACTAGGAACACATTCTGATGATTTAAAGCTTAGTTCTCAGATCTGTCTGGACTCCCTGTACACTATAAAGTCATTTTGGAAACACACATACATTTTTCCTCTCATTCTTCTACTGTACTCTCTTACTCAAACCATAAACTCCCCGGGGCAACGAGCCTTTGGGTACTGATCAGATAGCATGCAAGGGAATTAAGAGCCTCCAACAGAAAGTTACCACCTCTCAGCTGAGGTTGCTTCCGTATTCTTGTGCTGGTGCAAATGGGGCACAAACCACAGCAAACAACACTTATATGGAGGTTTTTTCCCCACATTTTTGAAAGACAAGAAAATGGGCCCACAGTGCTGAGCTGTTCCAGGTGAACAGCCGGAATATTTTAGGCTACACTAGGTCCGACACTTGGTATCCAGTGAACATGTCTTTGTAATTCTAACTGAAACGAAACTAAAAGATACTGTGGAAATAAGTGACCAATGTATTAAAAGATTGCAAGCAATCACAGTATACAAATTAATTTTTAAGGGGAAATTTCTTCAGTCAAGAATTAAAATGCATCTAAATTCTATTCAAAAAAGTCCTAATATTTTTCCATGGCATTTTTCCTACCCTTCAAGTGGAACAATTCAATTCTCCCTGTTTGACGCTTTCCGTATGTTTGCACTTGATTTAAAATGAGATCCTAAATAACTCCGTGAACACTTCTATCACACTATCAGGATGTTCTTCACAGGTCTGACTAAATGCAGCAATATTGCCTGCATTTTAAGAAAAAAAAGAGTGTTATGAAAAAATAATGTATGTGTATGGCAGGGGCAGGGTGGTAGGATGAGGGGGAAGAGAGAGAAAGCTGCAGAGCTGATGTGGGTGGCATCAGATAATGAAACTTTTGTTTGAGCATAAACTTTCTTTATGATGGTTTTAGGGAGTCTGGTCGAGTCTATACTGGTTGCACGAAAAGCAGGATCACCACTGAAAAACAGCAGCTCTGGAGGTCTCATTAGTGAAGGAGACAGTCTCTCCATCTCCTACCCAGACATAAAGATCCCTCACTGGATCAGGCCAACATCAGCTTAGCACAGCTATCTTGCCTTTGGGTAGTCTTGATGAATTCAATGTTTGGGTTTATATCTTTATAATTAAAAGGGAGAAGACACAAACACACAAAAATCAGTGTTTTGTTTGCCAGTGTTCATCCTGGATTAAAATTTCTGGTTCATTTCCCCCTGCCCTACCTGCCTGCATCTTTGAGCAATAACAACTTCAGGGGGCAGCAGAAGCTCGGACCCTTCCCCCTTCCATTTCAGCCAACCACAAAAGCTGAAGTCAGCAGAAATTAAAACCTGCAGGTAGGGGAGAGCAGGGGAGTTCTGAATATAGGTGAGGAGAGCTGAAATTAACAGTAAATTATGATTAACTATTTTAATGGAGAAAAGTAGTGCTATGGGTCTAATGCTGAAAGGAAGACCAAAAAAAAAGGCTTCCTGATTAAAATCAAAATCTACCTACGGGTTTGGTTACATGTCAGGTTTCCAAGCATAATTAAGAACTCAGTTCAGTTACTGGGTTATGAATGTGGTCGGTCAGCCATGTCAAGCACGGTGCCAGTCAACTGCCATTAAACCGTCATCTGCCCGTGCAGGTACGACTCTTTTCTAATGGGGACCACCCTGCATTGGTCAGCCATTTATCACCATCCCACCGATGACCTGCCAAACGAGGTATCGAGGCCCGAATAGCAACCGTTCATCTGGTGTTACATGTTCCTTCACAGCTGAAGTACAGAAATCAAGATCAGAAAAGCATTGTGAATTTCCAGATTCGCTAAAGACAGGCATTGCCACCCCGAGGAGGGAAATGCTTCTTTAGGAAGCAAAGGAAGGCACATCAGGTCTAACACGAGCGGCAGGATAAGACCAGGATGACACAGAGAGAGGTTCAGGCTGATAAAAATAGAGGCACAGTCTTGCAAGCCAAAACCAGAAACGACAGATGACGTGCAGAAGGAAAGCCAGCCAAGAGAGGGCTTTAAAGAGGGAGGTTGCAGGGTCAGAATATACTGTTATGTCAACGACAGACCATCATGTACGGGTACCGCTATCAACAGGAGTACTGAAAGCAGGGGAACCGAGTCCCAGGCACTAGCAGGGCAAGCAATGCTTTGGCTACTGCAGAAAGGTGGTTTGGGGAACAAACCCATGACAGCGGACAGATAAAGGGAAAAGAATTTGTGGAAAGAGAGTCTAGGAGATGGTCAGAGCCTGAACAGGAAGCCTAACTGTCAGAAAGAAGCAGTGAGCATCTGAGACACGATTCTGGTTTAGGACAGTCCCGTACACAGCACCTACAAGGCAGCAGAGGCAGGCACGGGGCTGCACATCCAGCAGCAGCACTTGCTGTCTCCGAGTACGCAGCAGCAGCAGACTGACAGACAGCGGCCTAGCGAGGTTAAACCACAGCTATACAAACAACCCACAGACAGCTCAGGATTTAAGCCACGTCCCTTGGTAAGGGAAATAAAGCAACTGCCTCTTCATTTGCCAAAGAGGGAGGTGGAAAATGGAGGGAAGATCTAAGCTTCCCACAAGGAGTAATGCAGCGAAGTTTGATACTGAACATAAACATGCTGGAGCTGAAAAAGTGACAAATTCACAACCCTTCAAAATTACAGTATGCTCTATCAACAACCTTTGATCACAGACAAACATCAAAAAGGAGACAGGGGATTGCTGAACATAGGAAAGGCAACTTACAGATCCCAGCGTGGTATTTCAAAGTGCTAACGCTGTGTTTGTGAGCCTTGTACGTTTGGATTCGCTCCCCAGTGTCTACTAACCAGCACTTCACTGTCCTGTCCGCGCTTCCTGAATACAAGTGCCGATTCACTAGCTGAAGGGAAGAGAAAAAAACATCAGCAATAGTCTCTCAGGCACGTTCCTGTGAGAACGGCACTGAAGGGACTCACCTGAAGTCAGAGTTTCCAACTCAACAGCCTGTTCCAAAGAGCAACAACTACACCTTGAAACAAGAGGGATGGTGAGCAAAACCAACCTTGTGTTCTTCGCAATCGCATCTCCCATTGACTTCTGGGCCCTAAAACCAGCTCCCACATTTCAGGAGATGAACTTAGCCCATCTGCTGGTGCAAGCAGGCAGGACTTCAGTGAGCATAACGATGCTAACCCTACTTCCATAATTAGTGACATTAATACAGACTCAAAAAATCCCCTGCAGTGTAGTTTCTGCAAAGCATGTATGACAAGAACGCTTAATCAGATTGCTAGTTTTAATTACAACAAAAATTTCAAAACAATTTTGAGTAACAACAGAAAGTAAATTAAAAATAAAATCCTACACAACATAAACGAGGGTTAAACATGATTACTCTGCACAAGATCAGAATTTGGAAACACTAACTCTTCCTGGAAACTGTTTTGTATCTGTGTTTCCACAAGTCTTTTTACACTGTGTTATCGAACGATTAAGTAATTAACCACCCTTACGCAGGTTTTTAAACATCTTCAGTCAGATTGTCTCCTGCTCTGTGTTTAGAGCAACTCTGCCTATAAACCACAAAGAAGAACGGTGCCTCACTACACCAGTCACCCTGCGCATTGTGTCAGCTCACAAGTGGGAGAGGTTGGCTTTTATTCCACACAGACGTGACAGAGAATGACAAAAAGAAGGACTGCAGTTGGGAAACCAAGACAGAGAGGAAGTAACTGAGCTATGTGAGACCATAAAATTAGCGAGTAGACGGTAACAAACTACCCAAAGCCTGGCAGCTCAGATGGGAAACTCCCCACAGCGCAGAGAAAAATCTTGTGTTCTACCTCCATCTCATGAAAACAAACTGAAGGATTTAGGAGCCATCCTTATGTCCAGCTCTGACTGCGTGCTCCTCCAGAGAACTGGCCCAACGCCATCCGAGGGCAGTGCAATGAAGGCAGCCAGCCAACGCACGCTCTCACAGCAATCCATGGGCTGTAGTTCGAGGTAAGTTTCCTGGACTTGAGCAATCTCTGTTTCAAAAGGATGGAGAGGGAGAAGCCTGACCTCCCCGAAAAGAAATAGAATTTGCATAAGGAGTAATGACACCTTGTTTGCCCTCCAGACACACAGATCAGCAGGTTCAAAAGACCAGCTGAGCTCTAACCCCTTTTGCTTCTCAGGTATTCCCAGGAAACCAACTGCAGAACTAATGACGAATCAACTTGACATGGGTCTTGCTCTTAGGTCATTTTTAAGGGTCTGGTTCTTCTGCCACCTCAGATTATTACAAACCTTTGGTTGCCACTCTTTGCACGCTCTGGCTGTAAGGCTGGAATGTTTTTTAAGCTCTCCCATCTCCACTCCCATTCCAAAAAGGAATCAACTCCATTCGCAAAAGGCACCATAAGTGAGCTTTGTGCAAAAACCCATGTGTGCTGCGCTACAGCAACATGAAACAAAAGGTATTTTAAGACAGAAAGCACTGCAGCGATGGGACTATGCTAACCCGTGTAAGAAATGCCGGCAGGCAGACCGAGAGGATCGCTGGACGCAGGTCCCACCAGCCCAGCTGGAGCAGTGCGTGCCACATGTCCTACCAGCAGAACGTGGCCTGTGGGACAGTTTTCATAGCTAAACATCAGGAGGTTGTAAGACACATACCACTGTTAAAAGCCAGCAATACTTTGGAATGTCACATCCTATGACTTTTAAGCTGTTTTAGCAACGGCATTAATAGTACATCTCAATGAGGAAAGAGAAGGAATGACCAGCAGCACTAACAAAAACTGAGTGCCATCGTTAGCCTGAGGAAGGTAACCCTGACTTTTCATTGCCAGGCTCAACCTGACTGGGCATGAAGAGCACTGTCACGTTGCACCTGCTAAATGGAAGAGGATGCTTTGAGCTGAGATCCTGCTGCGTTGTTCTCGGCCAAGTCATTGCATTTCTTTTCCAGACATCTTGCTAGCAGCATCAACCCACCCACTGAACAAGGGAAAACCCCGTTAGAATCTCCTGCAGGTAAATGCCACTCTGCATTAATGGTACATTAGGTGATGTTGCTTCATTTCTACAAGTGAGTGGGTGTATAAACGCTGAAGTGAAATAGAAAAGCTGCAACTTGCCTAGATTTGATAATTTGCTAGATATAAAAATGTGTTAAATGACGTGGGCTTACTCAGGTAATTTACAGCACCAGGATCTTAAGAGTCATAAAAGCTTCCGATGCCCAGTCAGTGATCTGGCGAGACGGCCGTCACACCAACCATCTTCATTAAATTCAAAGCCTCTGTGCTACCCAGGCTGCCCCATGATACAGTTTTATGCACCTTCCTCCCCCTCACCAGTTTAGGCAGGTGAGCATGGTAGCAAAGGATTCTCAGCCTTGCAGGGAAACAGAAACACTAACAGGTTAAACAATCTACTGGATGCCACTAAGCCGGCAGCAAGACCCAGCACAGGCTCTGACTGTCACACAGACTCTCATTTCCGTGGTATTTTTAAAACACGGAGGACGAAATAGCTATTGGTGGAGAAAGCCATCAAGAGCTATCAGCTCAGGTTGAACTTGCAAATCAGATCTGCCTTTAGTGACATCATCTCATCGAAGGTGATGCAGATACCTACAGCTAAGATCACCTAGGGCACAGTTCATCCCGTCCTGAACCAGATGTCTGGAACAGATCACGCCTTAAAACTCGCTACTTCTCCCCCCTGACAAGGAGAATCTTCTCAGCTGTGGCCATCTACAGCAATTTATGCGAGATGACTCCTCCTTCACTTGCACTAAAGATAGGTCTAGTTTACAACTCCAGCCTAAGCTACAACACTTCAGATATCTGTATTTCATCAAAATAATAACGACCATCACATACTGTTCCCCCAGCCAAACCACCTCACAAGCATATGAAACAAATACCTTCCCAAATACCCTTTACAGAACCAGGATATAATGCAACTGAAATCCACCCAAAAAAAGGACTTGACATGTACAGCATCCTAACTTTTGACTGCCCAAATCTCAGAGTCCAGTCCTGATTTGGGAAGCTGATCCAGGCTGCAACCGTCCCTTTATACAATGAACAGGAAGCATTACATGCTGGGCCAAGCAACAGTGCACAGCATCCCTGAAACTGGTGAAGGGAGTACGGGAAAACCAGATGGGATTCTGTCTGAGAAAAGCAAGACAGAGGCACCAACCCAATATGACCCATGTCAAATCGGTATTTTCACTCCAGAGCCTTCTTTCCGAGTTTGCATCCAAAGGGGGTGGCTATGCCCCAACAATGCAGACACAGCAGCCTTGGCTCTAACTTGCCAAGTTGGACACACTGGGCAAATGCTCTCATGCTAGCTGGGCACATGCCATCTTTGCTGTAGAAGCAGTGGAGGTCCCAGGGTCAGCCAGCAGCACTTGGCTCCTGTAATTGTTTTTCTTAGTCATGACTGTCCTGAAAACTATCTAAAAAGCCCAAGAAAGAGGGACTGTAACACAGTTCTCATGCCCACTTCCAGACAGGTCCCCAAAGCACAGATTTCTAGTTAGGTCACCTTCTGCTGTCTCTCCCTCTAGGACTCTTGCTAACCTCCTTACATCAGCTTGGCATCTCCTATCCAGCAGTTATGGGACTCTCCAAATCGATTCAAATCTCCTTAGCCTACAGAGGCCATTTAATCCAGATCCACCAGTTCTGTTAGCCTACTGGGCAAAACAGTATGTTGCTGTTCCTTTGGGTAAACATCCCCGCTGACACGTGAGGCTCAGCAGATCTGTCCCCTCTCTCAGGAGCGGGGCAAAGTATGCTGACTTCTTCACCAAAATGTGAGATCGTGCTGCAGCTTCGGTGGGAGATAGGCCTCCCCGCTGCCAAGACTGGCACCCTTTTTGTGGATGGGCATCAAGACTCAGTCATTTACAGCAAATACTTGTGGGCTAGGTCCCCAGGCCCACAACTACTGGGCTTTTTTAGCCCAAAGCCTCCAAAAGCTTTAACTAATTCCCTAGGTCCCAGTCCTATTCTTATTAAAGAATTTAATTTTCTTATGATTTAGAAGGAAAAATGTAAAATTTCACTCAACAGATTTTCCAGATATACCCAAGTCTGTCAACTCTTGGTTTAAAAATGATCAGTAGAAACACTTACATATTCTAATCTGCAACCGCCTGGAGAAGCGGTGATATTTTCAAAGCTGTATTTTCCTTGGCTGGCTTTTGAGCACTTCGTTCACTTTGGCTAACTGCCCAACAAAGCTCCTGACAAGGAAAAGCATGGCGAGGCAAGGACACCTGTAGCAGAGCAGTCAACACAGAACAGATTTGCAGCTCAGATACTAACGAGCTGAGCGGACATTTCAAACCCAAGTAGCTTCAAAAGAATTAAAAACCTGATGACAGTCAGATGCCCAGTTCTAAAGCCTCAGCCAGACAGCAAAAAATCACTGCGTTGGTATCTGTAATTCTGGACTGTTAACTTTTCTCATTACTCTGAGGGATTTTGCTTTGAAGCAGATGAGACACAAGGATGAAGCAAATTTGTCTTGATCCTCAGGCCAAAGTACTGGAGAGGTACTATTCCAAGAGAAAGTTCAGTCAGGCTTGCTTGTGAGTAACAACAGAATAGCAGCAGCAAAATACAGGTTTGTAAACACCAAAGTAGTTACAGGTTTCACTATTAAAAAATGCCAGTTTTAAGCAGCCCTGACTCTGTTGGTAGCTCCCCAATACGCCACAGTTTGAATAAAAAAAAACAAACGATCACGTCTAGGGTTGGTTTCTCAAGACAATCACAACCCTACTGCTCCACAAGCTTGGCTGAACTGAGTATATGCAGCAGCTTAAGACAATTTCTACCTGTAAGAATGCCAAAAATATCTGAAAAAGAGCTGTTCAGCAG